TCTGCCCACGCAAATTTGGATCGCAGTGATAGAATTATCTATGGCTCTACTTGAACTGTATCCAATTGTTATTGCCGCCATGTTATGGGGAAAACGGTGGTCACAGCACAGAATTCAGTTTAACTGTGACAATCAAGCCACTGTGCGTATTATCAAGAAAGGGATCACCATCACACCATCAATGCACTTATGCATCGCCTGACCCTTTGCGCTATGGACTATAATTTCATTTTGAGAGCTACAATTCTCCTGGTAAACAGAATGAAATTCCTGACGCACTCTCACGATTTCAATTTCAAACTCAATCTTGCATCAGCCTCTGAATCGACTGGGTTTGGACTCGTCTAAATTTTCTGGACAAGTCGGAATTCAGGACCACTTAATAAAGGCCCTCGGCTGGAGGTCATCATATAGTTCTATGCGATACATTCATACTTCAGATGTAACTTTGGGCTCTGCACTTTACTGCCTTGGCTAACAACTTGTAGACTACCGGGTAAATTAACAGGGTGAGGAAGTTGATGTAAGAGATACACTTAATTTGTAGTGCAGTAGGCCTTGAATTTGTACTAGTAATTGTACTTTATACATGTATTCTATATTTTTATATTAATTAAAAAAATAAAAAAATCCTTTAATCTTGGGCATTTTCTGTGATATTTTATATTGCATCATTTTGGGACTTCGCAATTACTTGTGCTCATTTATTCCCCAAGATAATCACCATAATCACTGTTTACAAAGTGTATTTAAAGTGTGTTTTTATTACTAACATTTCAGTATCCATTTATGCGTAGTTGTGGTCCTCACCACCTCTTCCACCTGCCAGGTACAGCCACACTGTCGTTATTTCTGTAGTTGCAGTTCCCACTGCCTCTACCTACCTAACCTTGTCATCAGGTAGCTGCGGTTTTCATCGCTCTACCAATAACCATTCATGTAGTTGCAGTTCTCACTGCCTCTACCCCTACTCACCTCTGGTAGGTTCAGTTCCCACTGTTCTACTACCACCTCATCTACTAACCACTAACCAATAACAGTTCCCACTGCAGTAACCTTTGCAATATTTTGTTAAACTGTGTTTTAGGACTTGTAAATTTTAATCTTGGTTATTTGCTGTAAGTTTTCTACTTCTGCTTAGGGGGTCCACTGTGGTGCTTTCCATGTATACCGGTTTGCTTGCCACTGTTTCTGGCGTGACATTGCAAAATTGCTGACCCCAGTTATAGATTCGCAAGCTGCTACAAAATATTTTATAAAGCCAAAATAACGTGATTTCAACCACTCTCCCAGGTACGGGTTGCTACAATATTGCAACATTGGTTTCATTGTCGAAGGCGCTAAAGCCGATCGAGTGCGACACTTGCGGCTCTCCTTTTATGATTTGCCTGAATCGTTTCTAAGTTACTAAAGAAGCACAAACCAAACGGCCGGCCATTTTTAGGGCCACGACATATTTTAACAAGTCATTGTCAATGACACGTCCCCGTTCCGTTCATATTTGAGTGACATATACATTCAAAGCAGATCATGACCGAAATGCACCTGCATATGTACAAAATCCATCCATGCATGACTGAGATCCGGTTCTGGAATTGTGAAAATATGTGATTTTGATGCATTTTCGGCCTTAAAATGGCCATCATTCCGCTATTGTTAAGCAGATCATGAAACAAATGCACATATCTATTTGTGACATGATGTACCATGTGTGTGTGAAGTTTGAACTTGATCAATCCAGACATGTCTTGGATACGGATCCAGAACTGAATTCTTTAACAAAATGGCCGCCAGTCGGCCATTTCGAATTTGATCCGAAAAAAAAAAA